CTCCTTGAAATAAACAGTGATGGGAAAACAGCTGGCTGGTTTGGAGATTTGATCTTGAACTAAAAATTTTTTGGGGGGGGGGGGGCAGCTGGTTTTGGCTGTATGAGTTGACTTTACATTTACATGTAGTTTCATAGCTGATTGGCTAACGTCAACACAAAGACGCAGCTTGTGATCCTGATTTTCAGAAAAGTTACGGAGTGAACTTATTTGTAAATGCAAAACAAAGAGCAGCTTCCTCTTCAGCTTTCACAAAAGTGCAGGTTTTGCAGCAATTATTGAAATTTTGGACGGGTCACTTGGGCCCTTGTGTGTTGCCATAATACCTCAACTAGCATATTAAAGTGATTATGCAGCGATTGATATTTCCAACGCAATAATGGTATTTGCTCATTGTCCAGACTGAGGCCGTGGGCTGAAGTTGAATAGGGATGCCTGGTGATTATTCTCCTACAAGCAAAGCTGCCCTTTACCTTACTCGTCACATTCTCTTGGATGGACTGAAACCCGTGTGGTAACCTGACCGCTGCTACTCTATATTTGACGCTTTGGTCGCTTCCGGGAAAACAGTCGCTAGCAATAGTTAGAAGGGGTGAATCCCAATGAGGGGCATTCCTATAAAAACAGGAACACCCTCGATAGGAACACCCCCCATCCTTTTCATTGATTCTTATGCCGTTACTTTTAATACAAAACCCCCCACCGGGAACTAAATGTTGCTGGGGGCTTAGTTCTTTGCTTTTATGTATTAAAACCTTTTTCTCATGTGAGAAGATGAATATAAATAGTTCTCATTTGCCTACGGTGCCACTACTGAACTTTGGTTGAATACTGTCGCATCATGAGGCCACTACTGTTGTTTAACTTAACTGTCGTTAGTATGTTTTTGACAACGGATATGGTACATCTAGACCAGCCGTACTCGTTCCTGGTCCTCGCGACCCCCCTGCCCTACACACGCAATTCCTACCTGGGGTTAGAAATACCTGTGCAGAACAGGGGGTCGCGGGGATAAGGATTATGAACCTGTGATCTTGCTTCTGGAGTGCTGGAACATTATAATGAGGTGTGAGATTATGATTAGTCCCGTCCCGTCCCCCCCCAACCGGCACCAACCCTCCTCCTCCTGCACTTTAAGGGGACCTAGCCCAGCTTCCAGGGGGTCCACAGCCAGCGCAAGGGGCTGCTGGAGACTTCTGGCGGAGTAGCCCCCTCCTGCCCCCGACCCTTCTTCCTACCCCACTTAGGAGGACCCTGGTGGTGTGGGGCAGGCAGGGTCGGGTGGCTCTGTACAGCAGCTCCTGCTACTATCTGAGTCTATAATTTGTGAAAAAGCTAGGGCTATAAAATGCAGATCTCGTAAAGGATAAGCCAAGACAAGTGATAATGGTGAAACATTTCGTGCCAGTAGGGGGTGCTTTTGTAATTTTGAAGGGGAAACTAGGTCTCATAGCGTAGCTAGGCATGGTGAAGCAGCCAGTGCTGATACAAGGGCTGCTGAATATTACATATACATAATATATGTAAATTACGCACATTATACAACCATTTTTTTTTATTATGAAAAGGTTAGGTAAGGGGTGCTTTGGGAGGTTCAGAACGCATTATGGGTATTTCCATTATTTCTTATGGGAAAAACAGTATTGACTTACGACCAGCCCTCGCGAACGAATTGAGTTCGTCAGTCAAGGGTCCACTGTACCCCGAATGGGATTTTAGGCTGCAGTTCGGTAGGTTGCGCAATTGCCCCAGTCTTTGTCAATGCCCAGTAAAATGTCATTTGAAAATTGTTTTTGCCACTAGATGTCCCACTTTACTCGGTCATTATGTTATATATGACACACACATACGTGTACAGTTACTGCCATCCCGTTAAGACTCTCCTCGTTTCCGGAGAGTGCTTCTGGAAGAAAAATAAGTTTAAAAATAAACTTCAAGAAGTGTAGTTATTGAATATGTTGTTTTGCAGTGTCACGAGTTATATAATCCACGTTTACCTTATCTAGTGGGCTAAAGTCTAAGTTTGGTAAAGGGAATAGTTTGTAATTACTTCCGGTAGTCTGGAGGAATGTACAGAAAAATGACAACTTGACCCATGGCCACCGAAACATGAAATTTCTCTACAACAAACCGCTGTTCAAAGATTTTCCGTAAATTTGCAGAACATGTGATGGGGGATTCCTGGTTAATGAAATGTTGAAATCCCCTGCTTTACGAAATCAGCCTGAATGTATCATCCGTCTGAAACTTCGTCAATAAATACATACGATTATTAAAATTAAGACGATCTGTTGGTTTGTTGCTTTTGCACAATTTTTACAAAGAAAAGTATGATTGAACCGTTATTTAAAAAGCATTATTTTTTCTGTGTGTGTTACGGAGGTGGGAAAACTGGCATCACATAAGTAACAAGTGGGCATTTTGGTGTTATGTGTTGCCGGTTCGCGTTTTTACTACTGGTAGCATGCTGCAAAATAAGCCGAACTTTCCATTAAGTGCAGCATTGATGTCCGTGTCCCTAAGCCTCCCATGCGCTACGCGTCAGTGTGGCATTTTCAGCGAGTGCTCTCTATCGCCGCCGCAGCGTTTCATTGGCCGCTTGCAAGAATCTAGCCTTTATGATTGGCCGCAGGCCGGAGCAAGCCTCTGTGATTGGCTGCCGCAGTCGGCCTCTGCGATTGGCCACTTTCCGGAGCAGGCCTCTGTGATTGAATGGATGCCGGCAGCTGCTGGAGCGCCCTTCCTCCCTCCCTCGCAAACGGTGGCGCAAATCGGAAATTGGTTAAAACGGATGCTTTCGGAGGTGAGACTGTTTATATGCGGGTATTTCGGGAGCCTTCTGGCCGTGATTACCGCGTGCGCCGAACATCGCGCGTGCCGCCGTTAACGTCGTTACGTTATGAATATACGGGACTTCGAGAAACGCTTCCGTAATGGAACTTCCCTTCCGCTTGTGTGCGTTCTAATGGCTGATTAAAATGAAAGTAAGAAAATATGCATATTCCTGTTTTCTAAAAATCGTCAGGAAAAACAAAAGGAGCTGAAGCTTGATATGTTTCAGAGACTGCCGTCCTCCTGCTTCTCATTCCGGCGCGGCCGCTCGTCGCAGTGCCGTGGCGGAGCTGCTTGAGGCCCCTCTGTGGAGGAGCAGTGCTGCCCGAATGTCACTCTAGTTTCTTTATTTATAAACCTCCACTTATTTACACGATAGGTATGAACATGGGTATTTTATCAGTGAGGAATATCAATGATTCCCTTAGGCTAAAATCCTGGGGGATATTTAATAAACGTATCTGCGCATTTCACATTATCTACGCCATTTTTAATAATCGATATTTCGAGTCTGACGACTCTAAACTGGGAATTGCGTTATTTATAGTTATTTCCCAGTGACACATGAGCACGTCACTGCAGTCCCTTACCTGGTAATGACAAGGTCATTGTCAAATCGCTCCGTATTAACCATTTACATGGTCAGATATGATAGTAAGTCATTCCTTGGGGAAAAATGTGAATTAAAGTCAATGAATTAATTATCGACCTACATCTTTAGGGTGGAGAGCTCTCATTACAACCACGCATAGTATATTTGCTTTTACTTTCTCATCAGTACTTTCCCTTTGGGGATTAGTGCAGTTCTTATAAAACTTGTTTGACTGATATTAATTGTAAGTGCCTTTCATAAGTTTACAAAATCAGAATGTCCTTTCCCACATATAATAACCGCCTTTATTAAAGCAGTTAAGATGTCATCGCAAACACCGCACTACCTGCCTCTCAATGGTACTTAATGGAAGCCTTTTCTTTTATGCTCCAGTAAAGACACTGGGCCAGCAAGCGTTGAGCACAACCCGGTGAGCAGCTTAAGCGTGGCGAGGGCGACCAGCGAGCACCAGTCAAAGGAGGAAAGATGGCTGGGTTCCTGGATAACTTCCGCTGGCCCGAATGTGAGTGCATCGACTGGGGGGAGAGACGCAATACCGTGGCCTCGATCGTCGCTGGAGTGCTGGTGAGTGGCCGAGGGCTGCGAGAGTAGCCGGGTTAAACCAGCTGCCGTGTTGCTCTCTTGTAACTAACTGCTAACCTCAAGAGACTGGGTGGATTAACAGCAAGATAAAGTGCAAGAGAGATATGCGATAACCTAACCAGAGCTGTTTTAAAAAAAACCCGTTTATAGTGCTGTTGATTTTGCTTGTACGTTTATTTGTCCAAAGTGACGTACAAGAAAAGCCTCCGGACAGATCAGGGTTTGCCCATGTCCGGTGCCCCCTGGAGCAGATAGGTTTAAGGGCCAACAGTTTTTCTGCCTTCCATGGGATAACAAACCAACAGGCCACCTGCTAACCTGCAGAGCCATACAATACCCCAAAGTGGACAAAAATATGAGTGGAGACTAATAGTGTGGCAGTAGTCATTGCGTCTGCTCATACTGTCCCATACTGGAGATGGTCTTCCAGTGAAACCATCCTACAAAGTCATAAAGCTTGTACTGGGTTGTAATGGGGCATAAAGTTTTGTTTTTTACATTTTTGGTTTTAATGAATATTACTGTGTGGAAAAAACTTTGTTGTATTAACAAGGTTTGGTCAGGTGCTGGTGATTCTGGTTAAAACATAGCATAGAAGTGGGAACTTGGGTATTTCTTCTGTGTAGTTCTATACGCAGCAGAGCCCCAGCTGGTTATGTCGAGTGACAGCGGCATTCGCCTGTAAGAGGAAGCGCGACTCTGCCAAGGACTTCTGTAGCCTTTTCCCTCCGCGTCTGATAAGAGAAGTTGCAAATTTCCACACAAAAAGGAAAACATTTGCTTAATGTTAAGGGTGTGGGATTTTTGTTGGCCAGAATGCTATTTGAAGCCTTTGGGAATACTTTTTTGTGGCTAGGGGGGGATGGGAACAATTACACTCACCAAGGTAACAAACTATATTTATGGTATAGCTCTTGTTATAGTGTGACTCAAAATTCTCCCCTTTTATTTCTAAGCAGGTTCTTCTACATTACACTTGAGTCCTTTGGCATCCCTTGCTGTTTTTAAACCCTGACTCATGGCTGCCTGGCATTTAACTGTAGCCTATGGTGGACTTGTTTTCCTAGAGCACCCGTAGTACATCACTGATCCACACTCCTGTGGAAAAGCATGTGAAGTATGTTGCGCTTTGTCACTCCGCTTAGGCGGGGTAGCTGCACTGTTATCGTTACGAGTAAAGCTCCATGATATGTTGTTTCAGCGCGGTAACTGCTATGTGCATATGTACAGTGGTCACATCACATCTGTCAGCACTGCCAAGTGTCTGTTGACAACTTGCTGCAGCGCCACTTATTTCACACACTATTGATATATAATTTCATATAATTTCATGCTTCCTATCGTGGCAGTATGTCCTCCTTTGTGTCTCTGTCTCAGGGCTGTGACGCACCAATTGCTGTAAATTCCCTAAGTACACCACTCTGAGCCTGCAGCTGTTGAGTATTTGGGCTTGGATTTGAACCCCATTCCTACCTATTTCAACAATGCCATCCTTGTTCTTGAATTGAGGTTTCGCTTGTCACCCTACTCCCAGCGGTGACTAACACCCTGTGTACCATAGCGAGGGGTGGAGGTCCCCTCGGGTAATGCCAGGTCAGATTAGCTGTCATAATGAACCTGCCGAGGCTGTGTGACTAATGTGGAGTCTCACTCTCTGGCTAGTTGATCTAGATATTATTTCTATGTTGTGGCTTCAGTCAGTTGCGAAACACCATGTATACTGTACATCCTAACACTTATTCTTTCCACAATCCATTCCTTCCCCCACTGTGACACCCATCAGTTCTTCACTGGCTGGTGGATCATGATCGACGCGGCGGTGATGTACCCCACCCAGGATAAGCTGAATCATGCCTTCCACACATGTGGCGTGTTCTCTACGCTGGCTTTCTTCATGTGAGTTCGGTCCCGATACATCCCTGGCACATGGGTGGGAAGTTTGTCAATAACCGTGTGGTCCTGTTGCAGGCGGTTGACCCTTTAACCATTTTTGACCATTTGACCATTTTTTTTCTCTCTCTGGTTTCAGGATCAACGCCGTCTCTAATGGCCAGGTGAGGGGTGACACCTACGGGGAAGGCTGCTTAGGCCGAACAGGTGAGGTGCAGCAGGGCCGACTGAAACATGGCCTGTTTGGAGATCAGTGTGGTTACCGTCAGCCTTACTGTTCGGTGTGTGTGTGTGTGTGTGTGTGTGTGTCCTCACAGGGGCTCGACTCTGGCTCTTTGTTGGCTTCATGATGATGTTTGGCTCCCTCATCGCCTCCATGTGGATCCTGTTCGGCGCCTACGTCGTCCCCAGTGAGTCTCCCGCTCTCACACCGGCCCTGCCGGGGTTTGGGCCATTCCGGCACATTTCTGCCCCCGATTGAAAAATTTTCGCTGTTGGGCTGGAATTTAGCCCAGTCCTTTTCCGCGTGATTTTGTAGTTGTGGGAAAACGATACTCTAGTTTGCTAACATTCAGTAACGGCCACTCGTCACCCCTGGCTGTTCCGTTTTTAGAATTATCACAACATGAAAAACATTTTCAGAACATCTACGATTCATTAAGCCTTCAAAATATTAAACCTTTGTATTTTTCTACTGTCTTTCAGGTGGCTGGGGTTTTTAAATATATATATTTAAAAATGTTATATATATATATAAAGTAATTGATTCTTTTATTGATCCTCCTGGGGAAAATTTTCTTTATGCCCCCCCCCCCCAACTTGCTCTCCATAGGTGAGAGCAAGCTGGCTGCATAACAGTGCTCAGGGAGATGGGGGTTAAAGGCCTTGCTCAAGGACCCTCAGATGTGTCGAGGTCAAGCTCGAACCAGCGACCTTCTGATTACAGGCACAGAGGTTTAGCCCACTGAGCCACACACTTGGTGGAGAGGTGTGGTATTTTTTATTTTTTTTGCAGTTTAATGTCCAACATGTTTATTTACCAAATGAGGAGGTAAGCATGTTGCTGCACCCACCACACCACAAACCACCTCAGGGAGGAGAACCTGAGTGCAGCCTGGGGCAGATGATACCTTGGCACCACATTAGTTTGAATGGGAGGAACAGTCAAGTTTTTTCTGGTGGCTGGAGTGCCAATCCTGCCACTGACCCTCAAATTTTCCCTGAAAGTTGGCGTTCCTGCTTGCAGGGCTGGATGTAGGTTAGGGGCCTTACTCAAGGGCCCAATGGAGTAGGATCTCTCCTGGGATTCAAACCGGCAACCTTCCAATTGCTGAACCACATCCCTAGCCTCAGAGCTACCACTCCACCCACTATTTACCGAATTTCACCTACACCAAAAGGATATGCTGAAACTTTATGGTGTCACAATAGCCTCTCATTAATATTTCAGGCGTACTGCTAATCTGCTTACCAAATTGTGGGTGTAAATAAATGTCTGTGTGGTACCAAAACGCCAGCATCCAGACAAATACTGGAGTCCATGCTATTTGTAGTATCTACGCCCGTCATCTGAAGCCCTGGTGATTGTGGCACAGGCGTCATGTAATCATGATATGATACTCGCAGGCCTGAAATGTCACTGTGGGGGGAGAGAGATAGATTGTGGGAGTGTGTGTGACTAATTACATGAGAGGATATGGGTGCTTAGGGCACGATGGGCAATGAGCTGCCGCTGTCCTCAAGACCGTGAACCTGGGTTTTGAGCACAGGATGACCTGTCTGTCGCTTCATTACCCAACTTTACAGGCATATCCTACATTAGGAGTGGTTTATGTTTCTAAGAGTAAGGATGTGCTTAGAAGGTTGCTGGTTTAAATCCCGTAGTGATGTCACCATTGGGCCCTTATCTCCAACTGCTCTTGAGACTGACTGACCCTGATCGCTAACCCTCACTCATTACTTAAAACAAAAATATTTTCTAGCTAAATATAATTATCGTTCTAGTCTCTTGTCAGTAGCAGCCGATAATCTCGTTATTCTGAAACAGGTGAGGTGGCTGGGTCTGAATAAAAGAATCCGCACTATGTACTGAGCTTGCTGTAAGCGGAGACTTTTCTGTCTTCCAGAGAAAGAAGTGTACCCTGGACTGGCTGTGTTCTTTCAGAATACCCTGATATTTTTCAGGTGAGCCTGACGCTGTTAACCATGTGGAAATCCAGTTAAGCTGCTGCTGTTAATTATGTACCGAATGACTATTTTCATTCCCGCAAATGACTCTAGTATGACATTTTTCTGTGCATTTGCTGAGTATTTGTCTCCAATGCTGTTCTGCTTATCTTGAATCTGAAGGAAGCCAACAACCAATTATTGTACAAGTTTTGTAACAAAAAACCTTGTTGGGTTTGATGCAAGCCGGTGACTTGTGTTGTCTCACGGTGTTTTTCAGCACTCTCATCTACAAGTTCGGCAGAACGGAAGATCTGTGGGCTTAGATGGCTTTTTGCCCACGTAGGTCAACCTCCCTGCACTCCCCATCCCCCACCTCAGCTCCCCACCCATCCCCAGCTTCTTTCTGCATCCATGCCCAGGTAGACACAGCTGGGGGCCCTATGAACGCGGACCGCCCCCCCCCCCCCCCCCCCCACCCCCACAAACAGTGACATTCTCTTCACCCTGGTACCTCACCCAGGCTTGGTGCCCTGTCAGCTGACGGTCCGCCACGCCACCCCCCCTCCGGTCATCGTTTCCTTAAGCAGAAGCAGCAGTGGAGCGGGTCTAGGCGACGGCCTCGGATCGGTGCCGTGCAGGATACCCCTGAAACCACCCCTGCTTCCTGAGGAGGACTTTGTCAGCCATTTGTTGGTCTGACAGGGACACGGATTGTCCCTGGTGATTTATATTAATGGCCGCGTGCAGTTAGCTGTTCTTCTCGTCGTCTTGTGTTGATGAAATCTGTTGCAAGGGACACCTGAACTTTTAGGTTGAGCCTGACAGGTCGTGGCTGCTGTGCATTCATCGCCACAACCCCTTCTTTACACAAAGTGTCATGGCCGCCAGTGAACCACAGTGACCTTGTTTTGGCTGTAATTGTTTTTCTAGGTTAAATGTGTGTATCATTATGTTCAGACCATAAACATTATTGTTGTTTTTAGGGAAAACAATGTTTCCTGGCTAGAAAGGTTTACCAGGTTATGTTCTTAGTCTGTGTGCTTCAACACAAATATACACTGGGAAAAAAGTCAGTGCTCTTAGTGTTTAAAATGTTAAGTTATAAGAATTTTGTAAAGTCAAAACTGCTTCCCATGTTGATATGTAGCCTGCGGCTTGTATCACGAAGCAGGATTTCCTGCTTAATCAGATAAATTGTTGGATTTAAGGTAGTCGGGGCTAAACGTACGTTTGCCTTAAATCCAACAAGCAAGAAATCCTGCCACGTGCAACAGGCCCCTGATCTGTATGGTGAGAACAATGTCCAGATTGGACAAACAGCCCTTTGTTAAGCCTGCCACTGCACATCTGATCATCTGGCAGAAACAGCCAATTGCTTTGCACTCCATTAAAAAAAAAAACACTTCCTGTAAGTTCTTTCTGTCTTTCTCAGGCAAAGATGCACACATACGCATTTTTATTTGATTATTCACAATAAGCAGTAGTTCCCCTTGGGTGAGACAAACGGTCACACAAAGGGACTGGAATTTTCACTGATAATGACCATAATGACCCAGCTTCTGCGTGGGTGGGGGCAGAATTCAGCACAGTAGCAAAATCAAAGGCTGCTGCTGCTGCTTATCGTCCAGTCTCCAGTTAATGCAGGACAACAGTAGCTCAGTCTTCAACTATTAAACCCACATTAATTTAGCAGCTCTGCTGATTGATTACAAATCAAAGTTTCTGTGTATTGCACTTCAGCTTGGGTTTTTCCTAGAATTGACCTGAATGGGGGATGTAACATTCTGTGGATGTTAGCCTGATAGCATTACAGATGACAAGTGGATGGCATAACTCCCACCACAAAGGCCAGCATGAGCTAGCTCTCTGTGTAATGCTTTAAAAAATTACATCAGATCAATAAAAATAAACTAAATGAGTGATGGCTTTTATTTCCTGCACAGTTCCTGGAAGAGTTACATCCCACTTTGTTACTAGTATTGGTTTGGGCAGCCTGCCCTCCATCTGCTCTCTCTGTGCAAAGGGATGTGAGCAGAGGAGATGGACAACATCCTCCAGCCCAAAAGTTTCTATATCCTTGTAGGTACCCTGAGCTTTAAAAAAAAAAAAAAAAAAAAAACCTGAAGAGATAGGCATCCCGAATGCTGCAGTAAGGGAAGATGCATAGAAAACAGTTCTGCTCAGTAGTAACATGGTCCCAACAAAAGCACCAGATATAATACTTCTTGGAAATTGATATCTTCAACAAAGTGTTCCGTCACCAAGAGGCTTCCTGCCACAGATGCGATATCTCCGGACATGATGTCGAAATGGAGTTGCCAGGAGTGAGGACACGGACGCGTTGACCGGAAGACAGGGCCTGCCGCTGGATGCCACGCCTGCTGCATGGCCGTGATTAACAGATGCTCGGTGTGGCACGTGAGGCCAAGGCTGGCACCACCTTCTACAAATGCACAGGCGAGGAGTTTCCATCATGGCTTGGACAGTCAGGCTTGGGACGGGAGTCGTGTCCCTGAGTTTTGGACCACTCAGTGGAGAGACCAGCAAGTTGCATGTTTCCGGCTCAACACAGCGGCAAACGGCAGATTGCATACGCAGGTCCTGGTCATGAGGAGCCATTGTTCATACTGGTCTCTTCATCTCCGGCCTGGCCTGGTACTCTGAGGGGCTTGGGTTGCTGCTGGTCCCCTGGACCTTCTGGCCACAACACACCACCCACAACAAAGTGAATCTTTGGAGGAGCAGAGTCCTCGATCTCATCAGTTGCCTGTAGACAGACCACCGAGACAGTGTCCCAGACTTCCTCAGCACTGGAGCCACAGTGCTTGGTGTCAACCGACGGCTGGGACAGGTCAAAGTCCTCCATGAGGAACTGGGGCACAAAGAGGAGAAGAGAGTCAGAGGACTCCAGCAAACAGACAGCAAAAGTGTGGCGTTAACGGGATGCCAGTAATGTGTTTGTGAGCGTGGTGCGGACAGACTGCTGGTCGCAAACACACAGCCGCCGAAGGTCAGAGCATCTCTCAGGAAGAAAGAGCAGAATCGTGGGGCAAAACAGCAGCTGTGATTTGCTTTTTATGAGGTATGCAGCAAAGGGGGTGGGGGGGTTATTCTACTCAAGAGAGAAGTTGGTGATGAAAGGAATCTACATGCTTCCCAAAACACGAAACCAGGAAAAGACAGAACACAAACACTTATGTTCTCACTTTGCAGAAGTGTACATTTGGGGGGGGGGGGGTCGACAGGGAATGGGAGGAGTCTGGGGATTTCCAAGAGCTTCAACAACGCCAGGAAATACAGTCATCACACTTTCTCTTTCTACTTGACAACATACTTTCAGGAGGTATTTTGTCTTAATTGAAGGCCGTTTTTTTCCCCTTCACACTTTTACTGACATTTTACCAGAATGACTAAAAGCATGTCTAAACCCCTTAGTGACTTGCCTTCATGAGACTCCCCTTAACCTTTCAAGTCTCGGCTGTAGTTTCCATTATAGCCAAAATTAAAAACATTTCAACATGGCACAGAGAGAACATGTCCCACGTGCCAATTAACTATGTACCTATTTTAGATGAGGACAGGGGGGGGGGGGCAGGACTGCTGCATACCTCTTGGAAGTGCTGGGGCACACTGAGTGGGGGTTTCAAAGCCTGCTTCAACCTCTTCTGGTTTTTGCCAACCATCCACAAGCAACTTGGAACCAGGATGCACAGCAGAATCACAGCGACCGCAATGCCCACTGCGTTTCGCGTGTGCTTGGCATCTTCTACAAAAGTCCGAAAAACACAAACACAGATGAACAGCTTCAACAAAGCAATGCTGATTTCCGTAACAGCACAGTCGGACAAATGACCCGTACTTATAATTCTTAACTCGAGAGACTGAGTGCAGTTGAACATCGTATATTATTTCTAAATGTACAAGACATGTTTAAGGTAGAGTATCCATACCAATGTGCCAATTCAATCTGTGGGTGGGACTCTTACCCGGCTCCGTGACGATGGCACACTCAAGGTTGCTCGGTTCATTGAGGAGTCTTTTGTAAGCTAAATAGATCACCTGCACACAATATTTCACCCCTGCATCCAGGCCTTCAATAGTCAGATGGGTGGAAAGGTGATTGAAGTCTCTATATTTCTGTGAATAAATAATATGAACAAATAGCTGCAGTGTTCACAAGCATATATATATTAATTTCAGCAATGAATTCAAAACAGCAGCCTCCACACTAATAGGGTATCAGGTCGATACCTAGCCTGCAAAGTACCAAAGGCTCTACTTCCTGCACATCACTGGAGATGGAGACCTACCTCGAACATCTCCTCCTCTTCCTTCTTATAAATGACTCTGTACTCTAAATGGCCACCTATCTCCTTCCCAAGATTTCTGTCAGGCACCACGTCAACTATAAGCGTGTGAGGCTGGGACACCACTGAAATGATAGGGGGCTTGATGGTAGTTGGATCTAGGTAGTCAGGAAGATGGGCTTCTTCTTTCTTTCCTGTATAAGCGCCTTGCATTTGTTTGCCTGTGAACAGTTAAACAGACATTCCAATGAAACACCACCAAACTGGTGTATTTCAGTGATACAGAGCTCTTCAGTATTAACCCAGTAACCCGAGGAAGTTGTTGTGCAAATGAAATATACATTGTATCAATTAAAATTCATGGAAGTTGTTTTAAACATAAACATCTTGTTTCAGCATATTTCACATGGTTAAGCACTTATTTAAACACGAATGTTCTGCGACTCTGCTAATGTCGTTAAATACTCGTTTTTGCAGTCTTTCAAATTTGAGGAAGGAGAATATTTAATTAGGTTAAATGTTAAATAATTAACAGTGGATCTACCAAGCGTGAAAATTGACACAAAAATGAACAATTAGCGAGGCATATGTATAGCTAAAGAAACATTACTGAAATAACATGTTACACTGAAATAACTGCTGTACAAGTGTAACAAGAGTAAAAAATCCTTAGAACTCGCTAAAAACTCCATATAATCTCAGCAAGGCTGCCACTAACGACCATTTTTAATTAATCTATCAACTATTTTACAGATTGGTCTATTCATCCAAATGATTAATTTACCTATATTTTAGTTAATTGTATTTTGAGGACAACAAACTGTATGTCACGCGCCCGAAGACACACAGGCACAGGCACCGCCAATCAACGTAGAATAAGTCCAGATTTTAGCCTAAACATTTTCTCAAACAGTAGGCCTAATTCAATTGAAATTCTAAAGTAGCAGGTAGACAAGTTTATAGCTTTAATAATAAGTGTATTTAGCAGCTACAATTAAAAAGCTCTCCGTATTAATGACAATTAAACATGAACTGACAACACTTTCGCCTGTTTCGCGGTCTATAATACCGCATGTATATTTTCTCTTCAGGTGCTCATCCGTAGTGCTAGTGCTGCTGTGGTATACCATCAAACCTTGCACAGTGTACAAACTACTTTCTTGTTTTGTGATAGTTTTATCTACTCCCATAATTACATAGTGCTGCTGAAGGAAAACAATAGTTATAATAATGAATCAGAAATCAAAAAGGTAATTTCATTAAAATTAAAAAGACATGCATCGATTTTAAATAGGCCTACTGATGTCGAATAATCGCCGCAGCCCTAAATCTCAGTACTATTTTCACAAGAACAGTTTGGCTGGGATGCCCTGGCGTATAGGCTTCGTTAACAGCGCTAATCATTAGGACAAGAAGAAATAAGGCGCTCCGTAGTTAGGCATAGGGCTCGCGCACACACACCTGTGGGAGGTACCCGGAATACCCATACGTCACACGCACGCGCATCAATCCGGGGGCGTGGATCGATCCCGCAAACCTCGAGGTGTGAGGCCGCAGCGCTACCCGCAGCTCACAACTTTTGCTAACAAAAAAAAAAAATCGCACACACATACGTCGACGTCCTCTTACCTCCGTGTATGGCGCAAATAAAGCACAAAATATGTAAAGTAGCTCCAAAAATCATGGTCTTCAGCGGGCCACCCCGTGTTTCTTTCATCGCGCCATCCAGCGGAATCATCCACTTTAATTAATAGACGCACTTTCAAGGCACCTCAACTAGAAAGAGCTCCATACACTGATACAGATGTTTCATCGCCCAGACGGCGTGGGGGTTCCGCCACTCTTCCCTCCATGGAAATACCTGTTTAACACATATTTAGGTTCAGAAAAATAAATTCATACACATACACTCTAGTCTTCTTGTTTTTCCGGGTTATAGTTTACATGGGGGACGCACTGGACAACTCGTCTTCGGTGTTAACAGACCACTTAAAAATCAATATTTGATCTCATAATAACCAACAATATAATGCGTGTGTGACACATGCCAGTTAATCCTTTAATTCCGCTCATAGGACGCCACTGCCAAATTAAACAGACATAGAATCTGACTTTTAGTTACTGTGCGGTATAAATCCGTACTGATAAGCCGTGCCGAGTCTCCGCGATTGCGACGCGCTTTCCGGGACGCCTAGCTCACGCAAACACGCTGAAAGTTTCACTTGTAAAACCAAACATCTGAAACCCGAAAAAACAGCCTTTCGCCGGCCACTGAAAACACCAAAATGCCCTGTCGACGTACACGGAGAAGCCGCAATCAACTGTCCGTTTGGAAAACATGCCTTACACCATTAATACAACGTAACAGGTCCCATGTGCCGACTTAAATAATTAGATTTAAGAATTCAAGACTATCCGTTAGTGGTTTCTTACCATTATTCCTGGAGTGTCAGATCAGCAGCATCCGCCATTAAGTTAGTTGCAATCGCCAGCTCTTGTTCGCTTTTTTTCGGTGTCTTTCCAGCGCGTTTGTCGCCTTTCCACGGGTCTCACTACCAAACAAGGAAGCAGATTGATATACAAAACACCACCCCCTCTCATATGTCCAGGTCCGACATGCGGAAGCCGAAGGCGCCCTAGTCGGAGTGAGCTGGTACATTCATATCTAGTGATTAAATACGGAGATAATCTCTTTCTAATACGGGTGAAGAGATAACGTGCAAACGCAAGAACGTCAAACTTCCATCATGCTAATACAAGACCAAAAAACGACTCTGAATAAGACATGCGCCTACAGAAAATGGATGGTATGGTTCACATGTTTTTAATTATTATAAGTATTATGTCATATAATTATTTTACCTTCATTTTACCAGGAAGTGCCATTCAGATTAAAAATCTGAAGGGAGCTGGTCGATGTAGCAGCCGCACAAATTTACGACGTTAAAAATACAACGTATACAATATAGTTCTACTATATAGTTAATATATAGCTATATAGTTACTCATTAATTAAATAATAAAGTAAATGAATACATTTGCTCTTTCAATAATTAAATGTATCTTTTACTTTTTAAAATAATCCAAGGTATAAAATGTATATTTCATAACAATTAACTTAATTCTTAATTTCTTCTACGTATGAAATTGTATTTCGCAATAACGTGATTTGTATGACAGTCAGTATTACGAACAGGGGCGTTGCTAGAGATTTTGGGCCCCATGAAAGCATATCATATTAGGCCCCCCAGTCCAAACCAATCCAGTTATTTTCCTAATTTTTTAGGGCCCCTGTCGCTCAGGGGCTTGGAATCGTCCTAGCTTTCCTCCCCCTTACGGCGCCCCTGATTACGAAATATCATTTTACAGAATGCACAGAATGTGATTCAAATGATATTTCACAGTAAAGTTCCACATATTGTAGCATGATCTGTTTCCCTGCATGCACACAAGCATGGCACCTTCACAAGGGATTTGACCATTTTGAACACACATCTTAATTAGCAACTAGTAGTAGTAGCTTACAACGGATCCACTGCAGCAGTCTACTAAAAAATCACTGAGCTTTCACTGAAAATTGAACAAATGATCAAACTCAAAACCATACCTGTCAAGTTTTGGATTTGAAAATAAAGGAAATTTTCCGGCACCCACCGCGAGCCACCCCACCACCCCACCAAGCTCCAGTATCCCTTACATTTTAAGACATGTGTACAAGAAATCTAA